TCGGTGATAGTCATCGTTGAAAGTAAGCAAGCAAAACTGAATTTTTTATGATTTTTTTTTGTTTTGTTTTTTTTTTTTTGTTTAATGATTTTAAGAACCACGGCAACAACCACCAACACCGAACGAAGAATCCTCGGCACCAATCACCGAACGAAGAGCAGCAACCGGCGGCGGCAAGGATTCACGGCAGGAAGCACGCCGGCGGCAGAGAGAACAGCGGCAGCGGCAGCACCGGCAACGGAGAAAGCGGCCGACGACGACGGATGGAGTGTGAACGGCAGAGCACGCCTGGCAGGGAGAGAAAACAGCGGCAGAGCAGCAATCGGCAGGGAGGAATACGGCAACCGACGATGCCGACGATCGAGCAAGAAGAAGAAGAAGAAGCGGCAAAGAAGAAGCGGCAAAGCAAGCGAAACCGCCGTGTGTGTGTGTGTATGGCGGCAAAGAAGAAGAAACCGCGCACGACGAAGAAGAACCGTGTGTGTGGCGGGTGTGTGTGCAAGAGAAAAGAAATCGCCAAAGAAACCTACTGTGTGTGGCGGCCAAAGAAGAAGAAACCGGCGGCTGTGTGTGTGTGGCGGCCAAAGAAGAAGAAACCTAAGGGAAGGAAGAAAGAAAAGAGAGAGAAAAAAAAATTTTGGGTTGTTTTAAACCTAGCTCGATACCAACTTAGAATAAGGAAATTGTATTGAATTCATCATATGTTGTGCACAATATACAGACTATATATAGACAATAACAAACCTTAAACTAGAACATAATAGGAAATATACTAAATATTACAATAGATATGATATTCTTTACTTTTTCAAGATAATTGTCCAGTTTAAATTATTATTTTTTAATTTAAATTATATTATTAACAAAAATTTAAACTGAATAATAATTTTGAAATAGAATAAAATATAAGATCATTTCATTCCATCCATTATTACTATTTTGTACGTAGCCACCACAAAAGGCCTATAATTCACGATGCTTGTTCAATGTATAACGGATCGGGTCAACTGGGGTATAGGATCGGATTGGATCAACTTTTTCAAAGTTTTTTTTTTTGTAAAATGAAAATAATTGTTTGGACAACTGCATGGATTTCCAGATTGGGTGTTCTTTCTTTAAAATAAAAATAAAAATAAATCATAATGTTCAGTGTAATCAATGTTGTTTAATGATGGTACCTTTCAAGTGAAAAAGAGGTGAGTTAGAAACAAATGAATTACGAGTAGGAGGACCAACTAGATTCTCTGTCATTATGCTAAAGCTATCTGCAGCAAATTCATTATAATTACTTGGTATGTAAGTTAAAACATGGGTGCATGCACGCAATTTGCCTGAATGCCATCAAGATGATTTAAGTTATACCCGTCTCAAATCTAAATTAGTTAACCGGCGCCATTTACTGTAATCTATGAAAAAAAGAAGTAATTTCTCATCTCAAAAACAAAACAAATCCGTTAAATTAATTAGTTCATCAAACTAAAACATATACCACCAGTTTTATTTCATTTTATTTTGTATTGATTAATTTCAGTAACCTGAATTTTCAAACTGAAGAGAGTAAGACAAGTATAATTGTAGTACCACGAAATTAATTTAATTAGGCTTGTTTCTGCAGAGAGTAAGAACCATGCATATTACAAATCTAATTCAGTTATGTATCAAACAGACGTACAATACTCGATGAAGTCGAATAATAAAAATTTGTCAGTAGTGTTTTTTTCTTCCGGGTTACAATATTGAAAGAAGGCTCACGGTTAGAGGAGTAGATAATACTCCCTCCGTTCCATAATTATTGTCCACTATGCCCAAAAAATTTTGTCCTAAAATTATTATCCAATTTGACTTTTTATGGATCAAGTTACATATTTGTCCTTAGTAAAAAACATTATCCATAAAATCTTAGTGGTTAAACAATTACTTATGTAGAGATATATCCGGTTGTTTAAGGTAAAATATAGTTAAGTTTGACTAAAAATAAAATCGTTCATTTTAATAAAATTGGATAATAATTATGGAACAGAGGGAGTAATATTTCAGAAATGAGAAACGCCACCGGGCCTTAGATATACTGAACCTGATTGGTTATCTCAATACTATCATATTGCACTAGATGACCATTGTCACGTAATTTTAGTGTGATATTTATGTGTCCACGTAAAATTATCTCATACTTTCTATAGGGAAAAAAAAATGGTACAATGTGCTAATCAATATGCATACTCCATCCGGACATTTTGCTAATTTATGCAGGGAGTGCCCGTCATCGTCAGATCAAAAGTCATCTTGAGTCTTGACCACGGCTCTAGCTTAGACTAAGGACGAAAACATCAAAACTTAGCTCTTAAAAAAGAGTTTTAATTAAATGGTTACGAGAAATATTGATGCATTATGATTCTATGTTTGTTCCATTCTGAAATAATTATTCACTTAATTTTTAATTTTAATAAAGAGGAAATACTAATTGATGAAAGTGCATTTCCACTTTTTTGGGGTCACTTTCAGAATCGTCACGAACCTGATTGTAAATGTGCCCATTTTGACGTATACGTTCTAATATTTGGCCCAAAAACTTTTAAAAATAAAAATAAAACAAAACAAAACATGTCCATGATGACTCCATGCAACGTGTGGAACGGTTGGAATGCAATGTCTTTATTCCATTTTATTTGAAAAGTTAGATAGTACTAAAGTGGTGTCATTCAACTAATAAAGATTTTGGAGCCGTCATCATCTTGCAATTGTATAAATGAAAAAAAAAAAAAAAAAAACACATATCATTGACCCAATTCATAAGATAAGACAAAATCCGGGGAAAAAAAAATATCTTATAACCTAAATAAGTATCTGGTCCGAAAAGAGTCACACAATTACGATACTAAAAATTGAATGCATCAATTATATACTGATATATTTCTTCTATCTTAAAATTATATTGTACAATATAAAAAATAATAATTTTAAAATCGAAAAAGTACATCGTAGCGAAAGCATAATTTCGAGGTTTTACATGTTAAAAGTTTCTCATCAAAGTAAGATCATGAAACTGAAAACTTTGCAAGGCTGGTCATGATCTTATTATTGATTTAGTAATATGGTTATTTGTGAATGACCATGAATTCATAATTGAGGTGGTCATTTTTAGCATTAATTAATTTATTTAATTTAAAGAATTCAGACGACGGGCAGTGACTGGCCGGTGGCATCCCTGTAAATGGGACCGCCGTTGCCTGACTTTTGAATTTTGATGCTTCCAACATTCCACGCGCTTTACAGTGACGCTCGTGTCGTTTTTGGTCGTAATCGTAACTCCTAAGAAAACATACCATGTTTTTTTGTTTTTTTTTTCTTCCTTTGTTTTTTTAGGGAAGTATTTGGCATTCAGCTCAAAAACCTTCCCCACTCAATACTCGGCACTCAGTGTTCACTGGTTCGTTTTCATCCAAAATAATAATAATAATAATAATAAAAGAATAATATGTATCTGATAAATATTATCTCGAACTGTGTTTATAGGAAAAAAATTGTCACACGAAACATACATTATACATTGAGGACTTTTGTTAGATTCCAAATATCACACAATCCACTATTTATAATCAAGTCATAGTCCGGAATTAATTTAATTGGTTTATAGCTCTTACATTGTATTTTTGTAATTCACAAATAAATTTTTGGTAGAAGATTTTTACTTCTCAAAATAATTTTACCCAACATTAAGTAGACGTTAATTTTAGTGTGATACGTGCTTTTGCCCATAAACAATTTCAATCACTTAAAACTGAAAAAAGTCCATTATCCATACCAGCTTAATTTGTTCTTTATGATCAAATTTAACTTAATTACCCAAAGTGTGGAAACCCAAAAGATGTTATTCTATTAATTCATTTATTGACACTAAAATACTTTGGTATACTAAAAAATTATGGATTTGATGCTATGTATATATATATATATATATTGTGTGTCAAAATGAGTGGACAGTGACAGAATCAGTCTCGAATATTTGCAGAGTCGACTATAACTAGAACTTTTTTTCCTCAAAAAATATAGAAAAATTTAAAAAAATTTTTTCAAAAAAATTTGCTCGCCGCAGGGTTGACGACCCCTCTTGCTCCCCTTAGGTCCGTCCCTGGAGTAGACTATGGATATAAAAGACATGTGTCCTATGGATTCCGATATCCTTGAATGTGTAATTTTATACGTTTCTTGTCTTAAAAAATAATTCGTATTGAATTTTAAAATTTATACTAAAAATAATACACACATCTAAAAACTCAATGTGAATTAAGTTTTTGAGGCAATGTGAGAATGAATGTTTTATAATACACACATCTAAATAATTTAATGAAAACGTAAAGAAATTATGAGAATTTCATGTCACTGTAGTCTGTAAATTTAAAATTCTTGATCGTACAATGACACGAGCCATTTCCCAAAAATCAAACCAAAAAGTCAGCATCACTTCCAGTCGAATTTTCCGCGACTTACCAACATTTTAAAAAGAACCGCTACCGTGAAAATTCGTATAGTTATCGCGTGATCTTCACTCGCGTCTCCAAAATTTTGAAACCGTCTTAAAGAATCGGAAAGCCGGAAATCACTACCCCCACTATCACCCACCGCCCTACCACCGCCGTCGATCACCTACTTAGCAGCCGCCACGACTGCTATTAAAAGTCATATTCTTCGAGTTTAATAAGCAGCCCAAGTATATACTCCACTTTTTTCCAGATATTTAGAGAGTCTGATTCGGAATTTAGAACTTGCAGCGAACTTAGAATTGGGCTACTTTTTCGAAAAATAAAAAGAGATTAAAAAGGGAATGTTATCAAAAGGAAAGGAATCTTGGTTAGTGGAGAGTCGATTTCTGGTGTAACTGTTATGGCATGGTTGAGCTGGAGGAGGAAGGGTAATTCTGCTGGTGAAGAATCAGTATCGGAAGAAGATAACTGCTTCGACGTCGTATTGCAGTTCGGTTCCGTTTTACTTGCGTAGATGAGATGAAGATTCTTCAATATTCTTTGCGGTTGATTGTTCTGCACACAATCTTGATTGCTTTCACTTCAGATGGTAATCCCAATTTCTTTTCTTTTCTTCGTCTTGGCGTTCTTTTCTAGGAAAATTAAATTCGTTTGGTGTGTTTTTTTTGTCCCTTAGATTTGTTATTCTTGGTAGAATTTATCATGACTGGAGATCAATAACTTGTTTCTTCTCTGGCTTAAAAGTTCAATTAGTGTTTCCCCTGCTATTTCACTATTCTGTGCTTCTGGTGGATCACTTGTGACTAAAGATAACAGTTGCTTTTGGATTTGGGAGCCTGTCTTCGCATTCTTTTTGCTCTTTGTTTGAATTATGTATTTGGATTTGGCTTCATTTTTAAGGTTGATCATGTTGAATGTCCCCCCTTCTTCTAGAATCTTTGCCTGTTGATAGTAATTTAATTCACAAGAAACAAAGGCAAAAAACAATTCTTTTAGATATAATGCTGGAAGAGATCTTTAAGCAATTTTTACGGGATGTTGATACAACAGCCATTCTTATGGAGGTCTATGGATGTGTGAGTTTTTTTTTTTTTTTTTTTTTGGTTTTTTGGATCATGTTATTGTTCGATATCAATTCTGGTAAATGACCAAAAGCAAGATTTTTTTGGTGAATACTTCTGCTTGAACTTATCTGAGACCAGTGTGTGAAATTTTTAATCTTCAGCGCTTCGTCCTTAGTAGCTGGTTTTAGAATTGTGTATATTTACGTTGTTAGCTCTATGATAACTAGTTGCTTCTAATTTTATCTGTTTTTTAAACCCTAGTTTTTTTTCTTAATTATATATGTTTCTTGTTATTTTGTTCAGTGAAGCTTACAGTGACTGCATTTACTGGAACTTATGGAATAAACTATGGAAGAATTGCCAATAATCTTCCTTCACCTGATAAAGTAGCCATGCTTCTCAGAGCTGCTAAGATAAAGAATGTTAGAATTTATGATGCCGATCATAGTGTTCTCAAGGCTTTTAGTGGGACTGGACTTGAGTTGATTGTTGGACTGTCAAATGAACATGTAAAAGATGTGAGCAGTAATTCAGACCATGCTCTGACTTGGGTCAAGGATAACGTGGAGGCATTTCTCCCCGATACAAAGGTCGTTGGGATAGCCATTGGGAATGAAATTCTGGGGAACAATGACAATGCTGATATATGGGGATCTCTGCTGGATGCAGCTAAAAATATTTATAACGCAACGCAAAAATTGGGAATAGATAAGAATATTCAGATCTCCACTGCTCATTCGCAAGCTGTTTTTGATAATTCTTTTCCTCCTTCAAACTGTACATTCAGAGAGGGTGTCACTCAATACATGAAGCCGCTGTTGGAGTTCTTTTCTAGCATCGGGTCCCCATTTTGTTTAAATGCATATCCTTTTCTTGCTTACACATATAATTCGGACAAAGTTGACATAAACTATGCCCTCTTTGAGAAAAATGAGGGAATATATGATGAGAAAACTCGCCTTCATTATGATAACTTGCTTGATGCTCAGATAGATGCAGCTTATGCTGCTCTAGAGGAGGCTGGTTACGGAAAGATGGAAGTTATAATTACAGAGACTGGCTGGGCTTCTAAAGGTGATCAGTCTGAACCTGCAGCAACAGTAGAAAATGCGAGGACATACAATTTTAACTTGCGAAAAAGGCTTGCTTTGAGGAAGGGAACTCCTTTCAGACCGAAGATTAGGTTGAAAGCCTACATTTTTGCATTGTTCAATGAGAATTCGAAACCCGGCCATACTTCTGAAAACAATTATGGCCTATATAAACCTGATGGAAGCATTGCATATGATATTGGGTTCCCTGGACTAAAATCTTCATCTGCAGTTTCATCTTTTCTTACTTTGAAGGTACAATTCCTTCACTAGCTTTTGGTTCATTATTTGTGCATCATACCTTTTGAATCTGCCTGCTTCTGGTCAATGTATTTATTTGATGAATCAGTATCTTTGCCCTTTGTATGTCTCTTTTAGTAGTAATCGCAGAAATATGGAGAAAGAGTGTGGGTCTGGTGAGTGGTAGTAAGCTGACAATTTTTGTGCAGTCAAAAGCGATTGTAGTATACTGTAGAAAAGAAAGCACCATAGGTTTTTGGGAAATAAGAGAACAGATTTGCCTGTACCAATTTTAGTTGTTTACAGCGAGAGATAACAAATACTTGTTGATTTTAGCTTGTAGGGTGAGCAGTTTTAGATGACTTTTCTCTTAAAATTTCTTCATTTTTCTACTAACCCTTTGAGGATTCTCCTTTCCTAGACATACAGAGCTTCAGCCTGGGTGAAATTGATCTAGAAAGCTTCTTCATTATGCTCAGTACAGGCCTGGGATTCTGTCCCATTTTTTGTCTTGATGGTTCAAAATATTGTTCTAAGAGTCACCCTTTCAAAATTCATGCTTAAAACAGGCCTAATCGAGAAGTTAATTTTTCTTCCTTTGTAAGGGTTTGAGGCGGGAGGGGATTTTGGAAACTATGCCTTGATTGTTGATCACAATAGAGCTATTCTGCCACCCTGCTTGTGCATTTTATCAAAAATAACGATTAGAAAGTAGAATCAGAATGACTTGACCTATTTTACTTCAGAAATGTGAGTTACAAGCTGAAAAGAGAATCTTTTGCTTCTACTTCTCACTATGAAGCTCCAAGTCTAGAAATGAAGAATTGGTGATTGTGGCTTCTTGTTCCCTCTGATCAAACTTGATGGTCTGTTTCTTACATCTATAGTAATAAGAGTTAAACATTCCTAAGGTTTATATAAACAGTATATTTGTAGCCTAAAATGATGTGAAATTGTTGTCTCCATCCATCTTAGCAAAATTCTGTTGTTCATCGTCTGTATTGCTGAGTTGTCTAGATCTTGAAAGGAATGATACTGTCTTATGTTCCACTATGTTAAAATATTCCGTCATGTATTTTTACACAAGATGACAAGTTTCTGTCTTATGCTTGGCACCGCAGTATGCATTTGTGGAATGCTTTGACTATGGTGATTTTGGTTTTGCCTTTTTGTTGTTATTTTTTAGTTCTTTCACCCAGAGAAACATGGCAGTCATCGATATGCTTTTGCAGCCATAATTCAGCACTGATTGCCACATGTATGATGCATCTTTAACCTTTGTAATTTGCATTCTTTCAGGGAATTCCAGCGCGAGGTTTCGGTTCCAGTGCCTCGGTATTAGTACTTTCAAGTTTATTGCTATTATTGATACTATAAGGTGGTTGTACAGGGTGCAAGAATGTGAAGCAAAAGAAAGGGAACAGACACCACCATCAAACTTTAGGCTAGTGCTAGTGTTTTTCATACTGAAAGAGCTAGAAGAAAAGTCCTTATACCTGTAGATTAATTATATTAGCTATCATCAAGGGTCACAACCTTTGTTGCATTGCTCCTTTTACCTCAAATATTCATTTGAAGTTTTTGATGTAACTTTTTAGGCTTTTAGCTCTGTACATTGTCTATTTGTAATAAAAATGATGTCGGTTATCTGTAGTTGCGTAGTCCTTTTGGTGCTTGATCTGAGTGTAGTAGTAGTTATCAAGGGATATGGATGAACTCAGCACGATGATTTCTTGCATGATCTGTGTTGTTGACTTGTATCCGAGGAACGTGAGCGGGTCTCTTGGGACTGCTAACAAAGAAGACCCGAATGTAACACTTTCCATCCCGGCCCAAATACGTGCCAGTCCCGTACATTAATGGTTAACACCTCAGTCGTCCCCCAAGCCTGGTACGTTACGTTGATGGTTCCTCTTCTTCTGATTTTGTAGAGTAAGCCCCATTCATGACAAGGGCATTCATATAAGCACAGTCTCCTGGTTTTCTTAACCAAGTACAGTACATCCCCAGCACAATAGTATTCACTCTATAACGAAGTAATTGTTCTGTTTAAATTTTCACTTTTAGTACAATGAATTATTCTGTTAGGATTTATAAAATTTATAAAACGACTTACATTTTGAAAAATTTCTCTAAATCTAAAACGACCTACAAATTGAAATGAAGTGAGTATTATATAGAGTTTGTCAACAGATCAGGCCTCACCCATTCCGTACGTAGCTTTCGAAGTAACGTACACTGGAAGCGGAAACTTGGATGACCAAAAAAAAAAAAATCTATCCTTTCATATCAACTTCAGTATTCATTAGGCCAATCCCAACCAGCCATCAAAGCCTAATTAAACAGGACTCCACATGGTCGTCTATCTTCCAAACACAAGCCGGGTCCATTTTATCTCTTTCCTCTTTCAGGGAAAAATCAACAAGTCTCATAATCATGAACCTTCTCTAAATATGGTAATGCTTGATTCAAACAGGAAACAACAACTATCATATTGATCTTTAGCTCTTCTCTATATAGCTTCAACACTCAACAGCGCACATTTTTCTTTAATTTTGGTACATTAATTTAACTTAAACCACAAAAAATGGCCTCTTCGAGAATTCAGAACTATGCAACACTTGCATTAACCTTGGTTGTTCTTGCAAGTTCAAATGTCGGGAAAACCTCTGCAGCAACTTATGTGGTCGGCTGGTCCAACCCCGCCGGAGGATCCGCCTCCTACGCTGCATTCGCTTCTCAGCATTCCTTTCGTGTTGGTGACATTTTAGGTGATGTTGATTAGGCAAAATTAACACTCCACTTCGCTTGTTGTTCTTCAATCCTAGATTAAATCCTTGTTGAGTTTCGAAATTTGAAATACTAATAATTACCGCTGGTTTTTCATTTTGTTTTCAGTGTTTAACTTTACAACTGGAGCGGACGATTTGGCCATTGTAACAAAACAGAGTTATGATTCCTGCAGCTCCAGCAATCCCATATCTCTGGTTACCGTTGGTCCGGTGACCGTGAAACTGACTTCCCCGGGGGAAGCATACTTCATTAGTACCTTCTCCGGTCATTGCTCAGCCGGACAAAAACTAGCCATCAATGTTTCCTCTACTGCAGCCGCCGCTCCGGCTACTCCTCCCCCTGCTCCGTCGCCCTCCGCCGCAGCACCATCACCAAAACCCGCCGCCCCGACACCCTCCGCCAGTTCACCGGCAGCAACTTCGCCTACACCGTCAATGTCAGCCCCATCCCCTGCTCCGGTAGCTTCAGTTCCATCGCCAGCTCCGGGTCCAGCCGGAGAAGCGCCCGGTCCTTCTTTGATGGCTCCTTCGCCTAATGCTCCCGGTACATCTCCGGTAACCGCTCCGGCACCTGGTCCTGGTGGGTCACCTGCTGATATGAATCCTCCTCCCAATGCCGGCGCCCCCGTTTCGACGTCTACTCTGTCTCTGGTCATGCTTTTGTTTGCCACAGCCGTTTTCTGCTAGATCTTTTACTTAATTACTGCGCATTGTTAAATGTTTGTAAGTAGATTTCTGCATACTTGGATTTTTTTTCCAAGCTGTTTTTGAGCTTTAATCTCTGTCTGTTTAGAGTGATCGTACAAATTCAGGGATCGGAGCACATTTTTCTTCTATTTTTGTTGGCAACTTGGCATATTGGATTGTTGATTGATGGGTTACATTTTTGTAAGTAGATTGTACTTGCACATTCATTGATAATAAAGTTTGACTCCTTTTTTGTGCAACTCAATAAAGTTCCATCCAACACTATTAGTGTTAGTTAAATGACAATTATCTTAATAGATTAAATTAGGTCGAGATTAACGTGGCGGGATTGGGGTAATTCTTTTCACATGAAATTCAAATTCGAACGCTTGATATTGTACTCCTTTGTCCCGAAATTATTGTGATATTTCACTTTTAGTATAATTTTTATCAAAAAATAAAAATTAAAACTAGATAATAATTTTCGAAAAAAAAAAATGAATAGATAAAACATTCTATCGATATTATTATTTTGAAAGAGCAATTGATGTTAGTTTTGTACAATGTACATTACTTGGCATCTTATATATCCACCTAAAATGAACACACAAAACATTATCGTACCTACCGACTCACCATTACATTGTTATCAACTTCAGCATCATTTGATGTCTTCGTCATGGTACGTAACTTAATCATACACAAATTATGCAATTGATCTTTGACCGAGTCCGCAGGTTTCATACTACTCCTTTGGATTCATCGGTTCAAAGTGCATCGTAGCCCTTAGTTCAACAAAAGTGGAGGGTACAGCAAAAAGAAAGTTAATCCAACCACTAAAAGAAAACGCACCAAATTCAGTACGAGTTTGCGCAAATTGGATGACCAAATCCCTATCCTTCATATCAACTCGCACTATTCATTGGCCAATCCCAAGCAACCATTGAAGCACTAAAATTTTAATATCACTCCCCCCACGTGGGCTCTATCTTCCAAACAGCCCGGTCCCCTTTCTAAGTTTTTATCTCTTCCAAAGAAAAAATCAAACACTTTCTCAGAATCAGGAACCTTCTCTCTATATATGGAAATCCAAGGTTCAGACAAGGAAAGAACAACTGTTTGATATTTTCTAGCTAGCTCTTTCTCAAAACAGGGTCGACCCGAGAACACATTTTCAACAGCAATCTAGTACAAATCAAAGATGGCTTCTTCAAGGACTCAAAACTATGCAACACTTGCATTCTTCTTGGTTGTTCTTGCAAGTTCAGCTGTCGGAAGAATCTCAGCTGCAAATTACAGCTTGAACTGGTCGATCCCTTCCGGTGGAGCCGCCGATTATGTTACGTACGCCTCTCAGCAAACCTTCCATGTTGGTGATATCTTAGGTAAATTAAAAATTGAAACTTTTTTTTACTAGCAATCACGATAAGGGCAGTGTCAATTTACTCCTGGCCCTGATAAAATTGGTTTGATTAGGATTGCAAGTCGTAATTAGAAGAATTAATTGTTTCACTTCTCATGGGTTTTTTTTTTCTTCTACAAATAATTTTTTGCAGTGTTCAACTTTCCGACTGGGGCGCATAGTTTGGCAATTGTGACAAAGCAGAGTTATGATTCATGTAGCTCCAGCAATCCGATCTCTCTGGTTACGGTTGGTCCGGCGAGTGTGAACCTGACTTCCTCCGGCGAGGCATACTTCATCTGCACATTCGCCGGTCACTGTTCCGCCGGACAAAAACTAGCCATCAACGTCTCCTCTGCCGCCGCCGCCGCTCCGGCTACTCCTCCCCCTGCGCCGTCGCCAAAACCCGTTACTCCTGCTCCTGTTGCAACCCCACCGACTCCCTCAGCACCAGCACCGTCGCCAAAACCCGCCGCTCCGTCACCCACCAAGCCGGCACCGGCTCCGGCAGCCACTGCGCCTACTCCATCAATTTCAGCCCCGTCCCCTGCTCCGGGAGCTTCAGTCCCATCACCAGCTCCAGGTCCAGGTGGAGCAGCACCGGTTCCTTCTCCAATGGGGCCTTCAGGTAATGCTCCTGGAGCATCTCCGGGAAGTGCTCCGGCGCCTGGTACGCCGGCTGACACAAGCCCACCACCCAGCGCCGCCCCGGCACCGGCTACAGTTATGGCCACTACTCTGTTTCTGGTCATGCTTGTGTCAATTTCCATTTCCAATTTCTTCTAGATCTTTTTTTTTTTTTAACACTTAATTTACTGTGCATTAATAATTCTCTGATTTCCGGCATTACGTACACTATCCATCCATCCATTTTTCCTAGTTATTAGTTTGTCAGAACAGCATTTTGGTGCATGAAGGATGATAGTATTTCATTATTCTCATCAGTGGCTTTTATTGCATATTTGATTGGTGGATTATTATATTCTTGTGTAGATTGTGTGTACTTTTAGCACATTTTGAGTTGAATAAAAGCTGTTTCTGTTGTGCTGAAATTCTTCTGCAGGATTATTATTATTAACATTGGAAATAATTAACTTTTCTTGTCAATTGACAATTATGATCTGAATTCAAAATGAGGCTAATTAGGAAGAAAAAATCAAGAAGATAAAGGTAATGGGGCCCGGGGGGGGGGGGGTGTTTCAATAAAAGAATTCCAAGTGGTGTATGTGGAGAGATTCTGGACTAGTGGTAATAGTGCAGTGTTCGTGATTGTCCAAAATTGATTTCCACTTTCTGAGTGACACATTGATAATGAAAGCAACGTCTGTATGGGGTATATGGCCTATGTAGCCATATTGCTTTGGCAAAAAGTCATTTACTCCGTCTTGTGTTGAACTAAAACACTAGTTTAACAAAATCTTGTGCAGTTTAATTACCATTCATTTGTATTCATTTCGGCCAATGTTTAAATCTCGACCTTGTGATTACAATGTTCGCTCTTTAATTTTGTCACAAAAATGATTTTTTACTCTGCCCTCCCTTCCCATATCGAGTCGATCATCCGATTATAAGTTCATTTATCGCGGACTACATCATTTATTGAACTTCACATTGAGTCAACCCCTCCTCCCATAGCTTATAGTCGGTAAGATGTAAGTATGACTAAATTGGTTTTTATCTTTTGAGAGAGAAACAAATCCTTTTTCCTTTGAGGGCCCTAAATTTTTTTAGCTTCATTTACAGCTCTAAAAGAGGTCAAAAGAAGATAACTTTAGTTTAGCTCCAAAGGGGGTGTGGCTCATCACACAGCTTCGTGCATAATAGATACCAAGTTGCATTAGATTTTTAAATTTCCAATTGGAAATTAAAGGAATTCTAATCATAATTCATAAAGATTTGGCCCCTCTTTCTAGATCCTTTTTGCTCACTGACAGAAAAAAGCCATAAGGCCCATAACGAATACAATTCTCCGTTTACTTTTCTAACAAGTCTTTTTCTATTCCAATAATTTTCCATGTTACATTTGTTAAGGCAATGATGAAGAGTCTCGAATGAGACTGAGAACCACAAAGTTTTTTTTTTTTTCCAGAAAGTAGTATACTTTTGGTGTAAGATCGAGTGTGCTATATGCCTTCACTACATGTTTTATTCGGATCATTGGAAACCTTAATATCTCCTGTACATGCAACTTTGCTACTATACTACGTACAATACGAAGAGGGGAGAAAAGTGTGACATTAATTCATTAAACAAGTAACATAATGACGTGTTTTAATAACGATCGAGTTTATACTAAACCAAACAGTAGATCAATAATTATGGATCAAGTCCACAATCCAAAGGCTACACATCAATTCTTTGATTGCTCGGACCAAACCCCCATGTATTGTATGTCCATAATTCTCATCTCCATTCTAGTCCACAATCCAAAGACACTGTTCATTTCGACTTTCACTGACTCTAGCAACATAAATTTCCTCTTTCGAACTGAAATGCGTTTGTGATAATTGTTAAGATAATATATAGTCTATTACACGTTGATTGGATTGGAATGGCCAATCTGACCAGTTTGATCTTGAACGTTCGCTATGGAAAAATTAAGCTATGAAATCAATGGCAAAAAAAAAAATTGTAGAATCGAGTTTGGCATGGTCGTATTAAAAACAAACCAAGATTTATTTGTAGTTTATTATAAGTGATCCAAAAATTACAAAGTAGCCATTGTTTTGGGCCCTAAATTAATATTTGGTTTGTATCATAACAACATCATCTAGTATGTTGCCCAAAAAAATAAATAAATAAATAAAAATCTAGTCAGATCTCATCCAACGTGATAAAAGATTAAATGAATTCAGTAGTTCATAGATTGCCAATTCCATTGATGCTAAGATATCGTTTTCTGGGTAAACTAAAGTAATTTTACTGTACTCAAAGAAGTTGTACAAAAATATATATATATATATATATATATATATATATATATACTCCCCCGTCCAATAATTATTGTTCAATTTGAGATTTCACTTTTAGTACAAATTGAATTAAAAATAAAAATCTACACTGGACAATAATTATGAGACGGAGGAAGTACTCTCTAAGAAGCCATATATGAGGTAGAGATTAACCAAGTCTTAATTGATAAACAACCGACCAGTACCTAATCTTCATGTACTGATGACTACGTTTAATCCTTTCAAAACCTTGGACGTCCACGAGTTGGCCTTAATCGTGGCCATAGTTCAAATTCTTGCATGGACACGAACCGGTACTTAATACTAGTTGAGTACTTGTCGAGAGAGTTTTAACTCTCACTAACAATTTTAGACATCAGATATATATACACTTAAAGAACGCATGACTTCATGACCTCAGGCCAACTATGCTGATCTAATTCATTGCAAATCGCTACGGATCTTACCTCAACACAAAGATCACGGGGCTTGCCTGATTTGTTGTCTTGTTTTCCATTCATGATATATATAGGTCTATAATAGAACAATCCTGGCTTGGCATAAGCTTAAGAACACAGGCATATAATTATATATATATAATATATATATAGAGAGAGAGTAGAGAAAATTACAAGTCAGGAACTAATGAAGATAATATCGCAGGGAAGCCTACATATGATAAGAAGATACTTTTGGAAGAAAGCTAAAATAGTTGTGGTCTTGGCAGACATGACAGATGAGAGGTCAGAAGCGGAAACGTGTCAAGTAGGGTATCAGTTGGGGTGGCAGACTCCCACCACCACTGGCTTTAACTACACCAACTGGGCTGCCCAGCATCATTTCTTTCGTCGCTGGTGATATTCTCGGTATGTCTCTCGAATATTAATTATTATATAAATCCGCCCTTAAATGTTTTCGATTGTGGGGAATTTTTTGTACGTAGGGTTGATAAATGGATTAGATATTGATCAATTAATTAGATGTTGAATCTATCATATATAGCCCCTCCCGTCTCTCATTTATTTTTGAGGTATAAATTAAAATCACATTTAATTCAAATCCGTGTCTTATTTATAGAGGAGAGAGTTGATAGATGTCTTAGCCTCTTAGGTACCATCTCATCTCTGGATTTTGATAAAATGCAGCTGCTTTGTCAAACACATCATAATTTATTTTTTTTCGGCTCTTGAGTAGCTTAACTCATAAAGATCAAATGACTTGAATTTAATTTACGAAAAATTATCAAGTGAAGTTTTTTTCTTCTTTGATCCAGTCATGCATTATTTATTATTAAAGTGATTTTGCCTTTGCTTTTAGTAAATCTCGAAAACTCAAAATGGACTAAAGAATATTTTACAAGTTTTGACAGCCTTTAATTTCAGTTAAGTTCCAAATTAAACTTTGCAGTGTTTCACTTCACCACCGGAGAACACACGGTAGCCAAAGTAACACAGACTGATTACGAAATTTGCAACACCGCAACTCCCTTAGCAATTGAACAAACCGGTCCGGCAAACTACATGTTATCAGTTGGCTCTTCTTATTTTATATGCACCAAGTTCGACCACTGTTTGGGAGGCCAAAAAATGGCAGTTTGTTATGGATTAATATTACTATATATATGTCTTAGTAAACTGTAAATGCTAGGGCGGTAAATGTCTAACCCTAGACTTTACTATATGTATTTCAGAAACTCACGATGAATAACAATTCGGCTACCCTAATAGGGTTTCCTGTCATGGCATCCGAGCAGGTTTACTCTAGCTGCCTCTTTCCTTCAAATTTTTTTTTCTGATCGTCGGTTTCTTTTTCTTTTCTGATCATGACGACTGGTAATGATGATTCTGTTTCTGGTACAAAAACTGTCGAGACTGGTGATCATTCAGTCTGTCGGAAAACCATTTCTCCATATGATTTCTCGGCTAGTGATAATCCGGGATTGATCATTTCTCCAGTTCAACTCCATGAAGGTAATTACCTTGAATGGACTTCTTCTGTTCGCCGTGCTCTTCGTGAACGAAAGAAATTCGGCTTTGTCGATGGATCGATCAAACAGCCGGGTGAAACTTCTTCCGATCATGAGGATTGGTGGACGAATCATTCTTTGATAGTTTCTTGAATCATGAACACCATTGAACCTGTGCTGCGTACCACCATTTCGGAGTTTGATGAAGCCTCCGATCTCTGGCAGGATCTTCACGAGCGTTTTTCGGTGGTTAATGGACCCCGTATTCAGCAATTAAAGGCCTCTCTCGCCGATACCAAGCAGCAAGGTATGACCATGTCTGCGTATTATGGAAAATTGAAGAAATTGTGGGAGGAATTGGCCGATTTTGACCGTCCTCCAACTTGTTCTTGTGGTCGCTGTCTTTGCCGGCTGGATGCTGCTTGGGAGAGACAACGTGAGACCGAAAAAATTCATCAATTTTTGCTTGGCTTGGATAGCTCCTTGTACTCTGCCGCTCGGTCGAATATTCTCGCTCAAGACCCGTTACCTCGGTTGAATAAGGTTTACTCCACAATGGTGCAAGAAGAACGTGTTCTTAACATCACTCAAGGTCAATCTGCTACTTCGCCGGAAGTCATGAGCTTTGCTGTGAAAGCAACTCCCAAGTTGCAGTCCCAATCATCAGCTGCCGCTTCCAAAACTTGCACCGTTTGCTCTCGTCCAGGCCATGACGCAGCAAGTTGCTTTCTGGTCGTCCCTTGTCCTCATTGTCATCGTCCTGGTCATGATCCCAAGCACTGTTTCAAAATCATCGGCTACCCGGCATGGTGGAATCAGTCGGCCGGTAATGATGGTTCAGGTAGAGGATCTGGAAGTGGTGTCGGTCGAGGTCGCAAAGCTGTCATTCCTTCTGCCGGTCAAGGATTAGGTCGTGGAGCTGCTACAGGCCGTGGCGTTCCTCGTGCGCACGCTGTTTTGCGGGGGCTGCCGCCGGGTCTGATTCTTCTATTGGCGCGGTGGCGGGAACTAGTGATGCTACTGCTGAATTAATCAAAACTGCTGCAACCGGCTTGACTAAGGACCAATGGGACTCTGTGGTGAGTTTTGTCAATACGGCGAGACAAGGTTCGGTTGATTCTTTAACCGGTACATTTTCTACCAATAAATGGATGTACGATTGTGGTGCCACACACCATATGACCGGTTTTTTCAACTTTTTGGTTGATGTTCATGACATTACTCCTCGTCCTGTACGGTTGCTGAATGGGTGTTTGACTATGGCTA